TTCTTTGTCTACTCTAAATTTAGCTCTAACTTCACTGCTGTCAAAGTTATCGAGGCTGAAAGGCTTGTATTCCCAGTGAGGAAAATTTAAATTTGTGGACTCGCACTCTTCGTAAAGAATAAGAAACTCCTCTTCACTGATCAGTCCATCAGAAAAAGCGCAAAGTAAGCACGAAGTTCATGAAATGACATTTTTCACACGATGACCGTCGGTAAGTGATTCAACCGTGGCAGCTTGCTTGTTTACAATCTTAATCTCATTTTTTTCGCGCCAAACGGTTCGAACTCGATCCAATCCACCATCGACAAGAACCAGACCTCTCCTGCTCGTCCAACCGTAGTCATTCAACCGTAGTGCTCAATCTTAAATTCCCTATTTGCAGTAAGCTCGCTCAATAAAAACTATTAGTTTATCTATGACCTCACTACAGCACACAAGACCAACCTCGTCCCTAGGGTATTCTCGCCATGCATGACATGCGTTATGTGTGGAGTGACAGCGGAGGTAGAGATAGAAATAAACCATGAGACCGGGGAAACGTCCCACACTTTTCCCAAATAGCGAAAGATATTTTTTGCCCCATGCAAATTACGAGTTATAAAGAAACACAATGAAACGGCTTTACCTACTTCCAACGACACAATCATCTAAACTGAGATAAGACGGGCGCAAAAACAAAAAGCTTGACTGATATCATCAGTTTTGAAGTAGTCCGCTCGAGGTTTAAGCCTGGAGCCGGTTGCAAAAATAGGTAGCTTTAGCTTCAGCTCGTGTCCACTCGCATCCGGATATAAAACGGAGATTTTTTCACACTCTAGAAACTATGTGGGGAAAGAATTCAAGCTCTCTGCGAAACGATTTCTGGGATAGTTTGGTTGGTTACTTATAACTTGCCAATATCGACCAATTATAACTAAGCATGTCCGACCCAAACTATCCCAGAAATCACTTCACCAAAAGCTAGTACCCATTCTCCCTAGAGTTTCTGAAGTGGGGAGTTTTTTTGGACGATTTTGTTGCCGTCGCCATCGTCGTTGCTAACTGAGCTCATTAATATCAACGTCGGACGAGTGTTAACATCTGACTTTCACCGCCGGTCAAACTCTTTATTTTAAAGCCAGAAGTTAACTGTTGCGTCTGATGCATCTGTCTGAGATTTCATGCAACTAGCTCCTACGTCTTTCGTTTAGCGAACCGGAAATCGATCAATCAGGTATCACCCTTACCTCGCCCTCATCTTCAACAGTCGGCACCCACTTACCTAAACATAATAACCACACGCTGAAATAACAGCAGCAAGCTTTATTTGAATGACTATAGCAAAGTTTTAAAATATTACTGTAGCCTCTGAAATTTTATTCGTAATCGTTTATAATCGTTTTAAAATATGAGAAAAGAGGAAAAATTAAATCATCACTTACTTTAACCTGCAATCCTGGCAGAAGTTATTCCGGAACCAAGTTTGTCTCTTAAATAAATTCTGAATGTTTATAATACAGTGAGTAGAATGGCCCTTTTATGCATGTTTACGTGAGACTAGCAATTTTCACCCTCTTTTTTCAACAAAATCCTTCTCATTGCACTGGGTTGCGAACGAATTCACATCTAGAAGACTTCTTAACGTTCATTGTCAAAACGTGGGACGATATTTAAATTTGCTCGTTTGACGTAAACATGCACAAGGGAATTTCATCAGATATGATAACAAGGGCTCATTTGATAGTAGTCGTTGGAATGGGACTTTAGAAATTAAAGATCATTGTCTCTTGTCGACAATAGCTTGGACGGTCTACTAAAAATGAGTTTCGTCTTCCATTTTGTTACAGCTCCACAGATTGCATAACCTTCCATCATTGTCGTATCTACGTGGTTCAAGCCTAAGTTTGAATTGTGACTGCTAATTCTCATCATGCTCGACGGTCTCCTTGTCCCGTGCTCACCCCTTGTTCAAGTCGTGAATTAAAGTCGTGATTCAAGAGCTACAACTCGGAAGAGTGATGCAAATAGTGTCTTAAGCCTAAGTTGCATTTGAACGATTCTTAAAACTGGTGAATGGGATAAATTTCAATGAAATTGCATAAATTATTCAGTAGTGACTCTGAGAACTAAGAGTTACAAATAATCTCGAGTGAACCTGAGTGAAAAAAAAAAAAAAACTGAAAAAGCTATTATTTCATAAAACTTTATTCGAGTTATGTCAAAAACCAAAACGAAATTTTTCGTCCTAAATACTTCTCTTTCTGTGTCTTCGCCAGGTACTAGAGACTTATTTACATACTTACTACTTGCTACTCATTACTTATATTTATTTTGACATCTTTATTGTTGTACTGAACAAATCGGCCCAATGTTTCTATTAGTTCAACGACAAATACGCAAAGTTACTCCTGTATTTGTAAGAACAAACACGAGGGAGGAGGAGAAAAGGATCATTGTTTGATTAATCAACTTCTATTGTCCTTCCGTTAACCTCAACTTGTGAACATCTAATGTCACGTTGTCTCCAATAAGCATAAATGGCGCCCACTGCGTTATCTTAGAGAAACCGTTTTCTCCCATCCACTTCATAGTCTGTTGAAGGGATTCGCTGGCACTATCCCCACGAACAAGGTTCTCGTAGAAACGACTCATGAACTGCTCTGTTGTTTCGTCTTCTATGGCCCACAGTGCTGCCAACACTGAGCGCGCACCGGATCCTAAGAACGCACGAGCAATTCCAACAACTCCCTCGGCACTGATCTGTCCTTTTGCACTGTCAGCCAGTCAGTCATTCTGCTTACTGATCCTTTGCCATCAAAAAAGTTATTGATGTTTATTTTTCGGAAAAGTAAAGGGCTTTCTGCTTTTAAGACCCAAAAATTTATCGATTGTCTGTAGTATGAAATGTAAAGACAAGTACAGTTGCATTCTTTCTTCACGATACTTTCAATATCATCCCATCTTTGTGGAGTGACTGATATTTCGTTTTCTTCAGAGTAACGAGCTGCCATTAAGTCTGCAAGGGTCCTTGCTCGCCCATATTCTTCTATGTAGAAAGCCTCATAAAGAAAGCCAGAATTACTAAGAAAATCACTGGCTAGTCGGTATTCCTTAACTGAGGGTCGTACAGGGGGGGTCTCTCGCACGGTTCACGAACAGAAAAAACAGCGAATCACGGATCACGGCTATCAAAATTTCATTTTCCCGAATCACGAAAATAAACAAGTAAGGTACTCGTTTTAATAACCTTCTCTTACGGTAGAAAGAGTGTTTGAAGAAAGAAAAATCGTTAAAGGCTAAGTAAAGGCTGCTTATCGGAAATCACATACCTAAATCACTCTCGATGGACGACTCTGACCATTCGTCCACTTCGCGTTGTAACTGCCCGAAGAAACAACAAATCGTCGAAAGAATCTACCTCGTAATTGTCAGCAATAGGATATTCAGCGTCTGAGTCAGTGTCATACTCTTCCTCCTCTTCTACCTCGGCTTCCTCTACTACTTGAACATCTTCAATGGCCTCGTGCGATGTAGAAGGCGTAACAGTCGTAACGGTCGTAGCAGAAGTAACAGTCTCCTCTTCGACAGTGTTAGGGCTGAATGAGACTTTATCTTTAGGATAGTCTGATGTTCTGTACATGTTTAACGGCAATGTTCCGGCCTTGAACATGGTGGTCTCTTGTCTCACACTTCTCTGTCGTGCAGCCCTCCCATTATTTGTCGCCCACTCAATCATGAGGTCTTTTTCCTGCCTATTTAACTCCCTTCTTGCCTTAAGATGCTCCAGCTTCGGAATGGCATTTAGTGGAGTGCTCTGGCGCAACACGGGATAATATGATTTATCATGTGTGAAGTAGTAGGCACTCCAGGGTACTACACGCTTAATGCTTTCGTATACGGTATTTGCCAGATTCCGTGCGTACTGCAAAAGGGTAGGAAACTGGTCCTTGAAATGACCAACTGCGTGTAGGTTTTCAACCTGAACTGTTAGACAAGAGTACAGATCAATGGCGAAGCTTGGGTTATGTTCTTTAACTAACGCCTCCAGATCTTTCAGTCCATTTAATATCATGTTAACCGAACGCTTTGTCTGATTAGAAATAGTTCCTTGAAAACCCCTTGGTTTACCTGTGCTGGCATCGTTTACATCGTTGCTATGCGACAACGCTTTTTCCGTTGTTGTTTCCAAGTAACTGTCAAGTCCTTCCAGAAGCTCGATTGCTTATGGTAGGGAACGTTTTGGTACAGTCTGAAGTTTCATATGAACAGAAAAGGCTTTATACAGGAGACCAAGATGGCCTAAATACTTTACAATGCCTTTTATTGAGGTAATTAAAGTCGCCGGGAAAATTGAAACGTTTCACGAAAAGTTTCAAGTGACTTGAAAACCATCCTTACAACCGACATAGCGAACTTACGGTTTCTTGAGCTTTGAAGAAAGCGGAGCATGTCAATCAAGCTTAATTAATTGCGTGAAGTTAAACTTGAAGTAAAATAGCATCGCCCGTGTTTGAAGCTGTATTTTACCTGAAGTATTTAAAATTTACTTGTCTTGAAATATTTCTAAGTTAACTTTGTGCTACCATCGTCATCCTGACATAGTCGCCGTATTCTCTTGTTCTTCTTTTAACCTTGATTACTTATTAACCTATAGAAAAGTCGGCCCGTATCTTTCAGAACGGTCCTTGATGTCGTTTAATAAGAAGTAAATAAATTCCTACCTTGTAATGAAGATGTATTTCCTGATAGTAGCGGCCTCTCCTTGTCCCATTGCTCTTGTGTATTTATCGCAAAGGCCTTACTGCCATCTTTTCCCTTTTCGAGACGACAAAATTTAAGTTCAACACAGGAGCCGAGGCCACGTTTCTCAGCCTCTGCCTTTAATCCGGCAAATTCCGCGAACTTTTTAGTAAACACTGCCAAAGATGAATGTTCATCTGTAATTGGAAAGCGAACTCGTTCCTTTCCAAGAAAATTAAGCGAGCCGACAGACTTTGGGTCAACGTAAAATTCAATACATTCGACCCTCATCGTACTATACGTACTCGTCCCCTCCATGTCTCGGATGTTTCGATGTTTTGGATCACTGTCCTTTGATCTCCAGTGGCATAGGAGACCATAGGCATAGGAATAGACATCTGATCCATGATAGGCATGTAAAGCACGTGAATTTGCACAATGGATTACTTTAATTAAAGCGAAGTCTCTTACTTGTCACATTTGATGTTTTCAGTCTTAAAATAAGTCTTCCAGAGCACTCGCATCTCAAAATCACGCCAAATAGAGTGGTGAAATCACGAATATTGGTTAATAATTCCAGTTCTTCACGGGTCACGCAAAACCTTCAGATCACGGATCACGAAGAATAATTTATTAAATTCACGTTTCACGGAAATAAAATCAGCCAATCACGCATCACGGGAATACCCCTGTACGACCCTCTTAACTACGTGGTCAAAATGCGATATCTTGTATTTTTCTTGAACTTGGAGTCTGCGAATAACCTCACTCTTATTAATACTGGCAAAGATATTTGAGTTACCTTCATGTATGTTGCCAAGTTTTAACATACAAAGTGAAAGAGCCAAGTAAGTACATGACTCTATTTTCCCACGCTTTCTTGACAATTCAAGGACTTTATCGAAGCATTCTTTAGCCTTTACATATTCGCCGAGACAAAGAAAGATACACCCTAGGTTTCCATAGCATTGGGCTTCTATTTCTTCCCGTTTCCTCGTTTTCTGTGCGATTGCAAGTGCTTTTTCGGAAAGGTCTAAAGCCCTGACGTGATCCCCTAATCGATGAAATACAATTCCTAGTTGTTCATAACACCTGGCTTCTTGTTCCCTGTCGCCGACTTTCTCTGCGATTGCAAGGGCTTTTTCGTAATATTCTTTAGCCTTGACATAGTCATCGAGAAACACAAAGATATCTCCTAGGTCTGTATAGCACTTGGATTCTTGTTCCTTGGGGCCAATTAACCCTGCGATTGCAAGTGCTTTTTCACTTTGTTCTTTAGCCTTGACATATTCACCGAGGTGTAGAAACACACATCCTAGCATTGTATAGAAATAAGACTCTCTTTCTCTGTGGCCAATTTTCCCTGCGATTGCAAGTGCTTTTTCGTAATATTCTTGAGCATTGACATATTCACCGAGAGAATGAGAGATACTTCCTAGGTTTCCATTGCATTTGGCTTCTGTTTCCCTGTCGCCAATTTTCTCTGCGATTGCAAGTGCTTTTTCGTAATGTTCTTTAGCCTCGACATATTCACCGAGGGACTTAAAGATACTTCCAAGATTGTCATAACATTCTGCTGTTCCTTCTTCATATCCAGTTTCTAACGCAATCTTTAGTGCTTTTATGAAAAGCCCTTTTGCTTCATTGTACTTTGATCTTTGTACAATTCTGCCAATATGCAGGTTGTCCCCAGTTCTACTTTTCTCGCGAAAACCGGTCGTACATTGAAGAGAGGTTTTGTGCCGCATTTTTTTGCGTGACAGTCAACATTCTCAGAACTTC